AATTACATAGTTATTGGTCGACTGATCAATTAGTACAAACTCCAATTTTTCGTCAGATGATGTCTTGCGACAGATACTTGCAGATTTTGTGTTACATTCATTTTCACGACAATGAAAATACGACATCGGATATTGCAGGCCATACTTTAGCGAAAATCAAGCCAGTAATAGATTTTCTTCAATCTAAATTTTCAGCAGCTCTCACTTCAGGGAAAAAAGTCTGTATTGATGAAAGTCTATTACTTTGGAAAGGGCGGCTTAGATTTAAACAGTATATACCTTTGAAGCAAAATCGGTTTGGCATCAAGCTGTTTGAGCTAGTTGACTGTGAAACGGGATTCATTCTAAACTTCATTGTGTATACAGGAGCAGACACTAACTATAGAAAGTTCGGATTAGGTGTTACTGGAGATAGTGTCGCCCACTTCTTAGAACCGTACCATCGTCAGGGTCGCGTTGTGTATGTTGACAATTGGTACACATCTCCTGCTTTGGCAGAATTTTTGCATGACCGAGATACTGGTCTGTGTGGGACAGTAAAAGCAAATAAAAAGGGAATGCCGAAACTGGAAAATAAATTATCACGAGGACAAATACAAGTTGCTCACACTGACGTCTGGATGGCAATGAAATGGGAGGACAAAAAAAGTGTGCGTATGTTGTCAACTGTGCACGAGGTTGATTTTTGTCCAACTGGCAAGAAACGTCGTGGCACAGATGAGGATATCATGAAACCAACGTGTATCCACGACTATAACCAAAATATGGGAGGTGCAGACAATGTAGACAGACACCTATCCATCACTGAAACTGTACGAAAAACAATGAAATGGTACCGCAAACTATTTTTAGTGGATTTGTGCCTCTCAAACGCTCACGCCATGTATAAAATGAGAAATGCAGGACCTGCTCCATTTCCAGAGTTTCGATTAGAGGTTGTCAGGGCTTTGTTGAAGTGTGTTTCTGAGAGCATCTCTCGAAACGTTAGTCACCCTAATCGATTGATTGGACGTCATTTTCCGAAGGACAGTACACGACGAAGATGCCACTTATGCAGTTTGCGAAAGATTACGCGAAGAACCTCGTACATTTGTTCTACGTGTGATATTCCTCTGTGCGTAACTCCATGTTTTGAAGAGTACCACACACAACAGACACTAACATAATGTCTAATTGTGTGACGTGAGAGGCAAGGGGACTCACAATAAACAAGCACCCCAAGTGAGAGGCAAGGGGACTCACAATAAACAAGCACCCCAAGTGAGAGGCAAGGGGACTCACAATAAACAAGCACCCCAAAGGAATCATAGTTTCGCAACCTCCACGTCGTTGATTCTGGGTAACGCTAAGAGCGAGAGCCTTTTGTAGAATTCTAAAATTCCAAGGTGTATGGAGCTAGTGAAGGAACTTACATCCACTCTCATTGACTGAGGGACTGTGAAGTCCCATTGGGCGGTAGAACGCGTTCAATCCGAGGGTAGAACTTAGTACTTCTGCACTACGGACTGTCTAGAATGTCTTCTTACTAACAGAAAGACTGTGAAGTGCCATTTTTCAAGCGCTAATACCCACTTTCATGCTGTGACCTTCAAAGTTCAAGGTCAAAGAGATGACTAGAACTTTTTTTACTATTTTTATTGTATTTAGCGGTTCATAAAACATAGGTATACCAATTTTCAAGCTCAAATACGCATTTTCATTATTTGACCTTCAAAGTTCAAGGTCAAATATGAATCTGACATTTTTTTCACTATTTTTATTGTAATCAGCACATCAAAAAACATTGAAAAGCGCTCTTAAATCTTCACTTATAATTTTTTACATTAGCCTTAACTTTCTCTCCGGGAGTGGTCCATATATGGACCAGCACTCCGAGTGGCGACTTGTCATAAGAAGTTCATTCATTTAAGTCATGAAATCCAGCTAAAATGCGAGGTCAATTTTAAAGAAAAAATCCCCGAAGCGAAAAGGTTAATTTGAACTGTGGATGTTTAGACATCAAACGACATTTAATAATTTCGTGAAGTTTGGCTTTTCTAGCTTCATGTTGTCCGTTAATATCAAAAGAAAATAAATTTGGGAAACACATTAAATCCCATAATTTTTCACGATTATCCATCTGCAAATCTCCAATTTTTAACATCTGATATAAGGCTGTTGCACTTGTATTCAATTTTTTTTTATCCAAGGGATATATAGTATATTGCTCATAATATTCATCATTTTCATCAATGATCTTGGTCAACATTGCCTCATGTTGGTCGTCAACTGTAGTCTCTACATGATTTTCTATCGTTTCTGTTTGTTCTACACAGTGTGATAATTTGACACGACATTCTTTATCTAATATATCTTTTTTATCAGTTTCTGTCTCTTGCAAGCAAAATTCCGCATTATCTAATTTGTCCAAATGTAACTCATCATAGGTTTTTAGTAACATAATATACGAATATAAAGGATTCTTATCTTTTAACCATTGTAAAGCGTCGAATACATTTTTAATTCTTACTAATTTTTCCCAGATAATTTTCGATTTAGTAGGAATACCTCTGACTAAGATGAATAATTCATGATTTATGTTTAGTGGATCTGTATTGGAAGATAATTTATTTAATGTCTCCTGTAAAGGAAGTGGTAAATGAAATGTTCTACCTTTGACCTTTTGCACCATTTGTCTTTAAAGCATATTTTTGTTCATAACTGTCCCCATCTTAATAACAGTTTGAAATGCTTTTGCTCTCTGTATAAGAATCTTTTCGAATGAATTGAGAGAAGATATTACTTCAGGCACATCATCTACAATGAGATTATTCAAAACTCAATACGCAGGCATTAGACCTTGACGAAATTTTCGTTTACAATAATTACATATATATTCCAAATTTATGTTTTTGCGCTCGATATATGCCATTAAATCTCTCCACACTGGAATATCTATTTGTCTTTGAGTTTTTTCGATATTAGATATATTTCTTTCATAGCAAAGTCTTTCACACGACACGCAAACATATTCTGGTGTGTCCATTAAGCGTTTAGTCAAAGCTTTAAATGCAATTGGATATTTAGAAATAATATTGTCGTCACTCAAAACAGTATTGATTTGCTGACGTTTATACATACTCGTATCTGCTTTTTCTTGCGCTGAAGCAACAATTTCATTCAACGTATCCACATCAGCACGGGATATAACGCCATATCCAGATCTAACATTTTTTGATAAAACTCCATAAGTCGGTAAATTAAACGCTTAATATATCTCACATTTTGAAAATGCGGAGATAACAGTTGAATTGGAAGANACATCGCTTTACACAGAGTTGGATTGATGTAACAACTATGTGTGTGACCTAATTTCATTTTTGAAGGTTTCATTGTACATTCATGAATGCGTCCTATTAATTGTTGTACATTCTTCAAAGTACATTTGTTTATGATCTCAAAAAGCTTTTGGTAACTTTCAATCACAATCTCATCAATTTTACATGACGTATCACACGACCATGCTTTTGTTGCTTGTGCTGTTATCAAAGGTAACATATTTACAACTTGTCCTTTTGTATTTATCATTAAAGATTTTGGCAAAATGTTCTTATTATATGTAGACTCCAGGTAATAATTTTCAGATAAAGCTGTATGTCTAGACATTCTACATAACGCAAGTAATTTGTCATCAAGTGTAGAACATTCTTTAACCAGAGTTAAACATACTTCCGATTTTTTTAAGCACAGCTAATACTTTGTACATATTTCGAATATAATTGTTTCTAACATACATGCACCAACGTACAATCTTTTCGGCTTGTAACCGTTTGTTAATATATATCCTTGAATATTATTAAGTGTATTTACTATACATTTAATAAATGTCTCTAGACTATGAGGAAGTTTTATAGCATTACTCGATCGATATTTATTATATGGTCTACTAACTTTTTGGACAATATTGCATTTGTTTATTGCAACTTTAGATTTTGCATTTTTTTTCTTATAATAATATTGTTTATTATAAAGCCATTTCCGATAAGGATCTAAAGCTTTTTGTCTCTTTTGTTCGCGTTGTGCATTTATGGAATAACGTTTACGCTTTTGTATACGTCGTTGTACACGATTTTTTTTATATCGCATTTTATCTTTAATACGATTATATTTAAAATTTTGTCGATAGCGATGTCGCTTTTGAGCACGATTATTTTCCAAATTATTTCTATATCTGCACCGTTCTTTAGCGCGATTATTTTCTAAATGTTGCATGTACGATAATCGTCTAGTTACATGTCTTTTTTCTTTATACACAGAGGATCTTTATTAATAGTTTTTTTTATTGTACTATTTTTATCTAGAGAATTTTTCCTAATTCCAAAATCTAATTTTTTGTTGTAAAGTGTATGCATATTATCCACTTTNTTATTACTACAAATAGCATTACTTGTATTCTTAGTTTTGTAATAGTTACTTATTTCGCATACAGCAGTATTGTCATTATTATTATCGTAATTGCTGTTTCTAATATCATTATTACTTTTGTACACATGTTACGTCCGAGTGTTCAAGGTCACGGTTCGACGAAACCGTTTACACTTGTCGAACGTACGTTCTCCCTTTATGGTCAGCCGTACTGGCTTTACCGGGGCGGAGAATGAGGATTTTGGTCGGGAAGATAACTGGACTGATTATTACCGATTGATACTTTATTCCTGACTGTTACTGATTGTGGTTACCGACAGTTACCGACTGCCGTGTGTTTACCGACAGTTACCGACTGCCGTGTTGTTACCGACAGTTACCGACTGCCGTGTGGTTACCGACAGTTACCGACTGCCGTGTGGTTACCGACCACTGGTTTATTACAGAGTATGTTACCGGCGGAATTACTAATTCGAATACCTTAAAGAATAGTAAAGTTATTTATTATTAATTCCCTTTTTCCGAATACAACGCCTCTCGTCTTTTCTCTATATAAACCTTAAACCGCGGGTCTGATGGCGGAATTGTTGCCGGATACACCACTTTTGGCTTAGTGATTTTTATTAATTTCCACCCGGGTTTAATAATTACGCGATGGTTTCTAAGAACTTCTATATTGGTTATAACGCACGGAGCGGACCTAACCGAATGTTCTGTTGTATTTGTCGGATGTCTGTTGGTTGGTTCCAACGTTGACGGGTCAAACTGTCCGTTGCGTGAGTAATTCCTTAATAAATTTCTCAGGTGGTAATTTCTGCCTCCTCGACGCACACGACGTCTTCTCTGACGGGCCAGAGTATCTGGATGGTGTGTTTCCTGGGAACAGATACACAGAATAAGCGTGCAATCGAGTCGCACCTCTCTTACTCTTGTATCTTGGAAGGGAAACGACAAGCGTGCACTCGTGACGCACCTTGCGTCCGTTGAAGTGTAAACGGTTTTGTCGAACCGTGACCTTGAGCACTCGGACGTAACACTAAGATCCGATTTATAACAGCAGAAATATTCTAAGTTCCGACTTATAACAGCAGAAATATTATAAGTTCCGATTTATAACAGCAGAAATATTCTAAGTCCCTATAGCAGAAAATACTTCGGTCTAACCAGAGCGATCTTTACTAACTGAGTTTCTGAATCTGAATGACGCTTCTGCCGGTCGCTCCGGCCGTTTTTATACTCTACAAAAGATGCTGATGCTGCAGTGTCCCACGGGTCCGTCGTTCAATGGTCCCACGCGGTCAACGGTCCCGCGCTCGCTCGGTTCCCGCGGTCGCGAGACGTGCCTTATCTCCGCGCGTGCCTTATCTCTGTTCGCTCGCTCAGGCCAGCGCCCGTGGTCTTTACGCGCAAGTTTTGTCGTGAGAAAAGAACATTCAAGAATATTGAGAAAATTAAAAGAAACTACTACGGAATTATTACTAATACTATTAACATAAGCAGAATTATTAGTGGAATACTATAACTAGCTGATATACTTACATTGCTATAAATCTGCCGTAACGGTTTGTATGCGCAACATTGGTATAATGAATTACATATAACAATAAATCATACATAATAATCGGTACTGATTCCTTAATTAATNAGAAAATACTTCGGTCTAACCAGAGCGATCTTTACTAACTGAGTTTCTGAATCTGAATGACGCTTCTGCCGGTCGCTCCGGCCGTTTTTATACTCTACAAAAGATGCTGATGCTGCAGTGTCCCACGGGTCCGTCGTTCAATGGTCCCACGCGGTCAACGGTCCCGCGCTCGCTCGGTTCCCGCGGTCGCGAGACGTGCCTTATCTCCGCGCGTGCCTTATCTCTGTTCGCTCGCTCAGGCCAGCGCCCGTGGTCTTTACGCGCAAGTTTTGTCGTGAGAAAAGAACATTCAAGAATATTGAGAAAATTAAAAGAAACT